CATTTGTAAACAAGGAATTCACATCAAATGAACACATTGTCTTTTCCTTGATATTAATATCACCTAAATGATCGACCAGTTCAAAAGAATCCTTTAGAGAATACTTACATAGATGTCTTTGGATAGGGTCCAATAACTTTGTTAACCATTTAGCCAGGTTATGTGTAGGTGATCTGCACATTGCGAATAACGCAACCTATCATTATAGTCTTTATTATTGCAATCTTTACTTATTCTTTTCCATTTTTATCATCGCCTATGTTAATCTGTTACTGTGAACTTTCGTTGCTTCATGTCAATGTTGATTAGTATTTAAACTCAAATAACTAGTTCAGTAGGTAGAACTAACTAGTCAACTACGGTTATAATCGGCTATCGTGGTTCTTTAACAAGCATTAGCAGCATGTAAATGCTCCTATGTAATATGTCTGTTAAAATATCAACCACTCGTGGGTATAGCCACAAGGCAACACGAACGCACATCGGTTTGTAACTTATCCAATAGTTTATGCGATAAAAGATTAACTATCGACTTTAAATTTCGTCTTCCTGCTTAACCTCTATCCACTAGAATATTTCTATTTTTGACCACCGCCTGCCTAATTTCCAATTGCCGAGTTCCATGGCCAAACAGAGGATACAAATGCTAGAAATTTACGGTGAGTTCAAACTATAAATGTTCTGCAATCTTAGATCTCGGTTAGACTGTTCGTCAGGCAATGCTACGTATTTGGCTTGAATTTATTCTGGACTTGTATTAATTCAGTCTACAACGCTGTGTTAATCGAAGAATCTAATCAACAGTACCTCGTATATAATCCAGATTTCAACTACTGTCCACTTCGTACCTTCATTACTTGAAAGCAAGAATAACCCAGGCGAGTTTCATAAAATCATTAGATTATTTCGTACTATCTTTATGATGCGTAATAACATTTCGTAGTTGCTTTCATGTTAAGTAGTTATATATTCTGTCACTTCCGTTAAGTGTTAGTCGAAATCATGTACATTTGTGACTCGTTAATCGACATAATATGGTAAAACATATTGCATGTACACGAACAATCTTATTTCATGTCCTGAGTAGACACTTTGTCGTACGTAATATATCACTTAACGCTGGGTAACAAGCTCCTTGCATCAGCCTTGTACGAAATGGCCACGTTACCTGAACATTGGTGTTTACCATTTTAATTAATGTTTACTATACTCCTTGTATTTGCTATTATTTCACACGGTAAATCATGGCTCGATCTCCTTATTACACGACAGTCATTTCAATTCCATTTTCGATTTACTTGTATGCAATAATGGTTTGTAAAATATCTAAACGTCCTCGAAAATTCTCCACGAACCCAACCAAAGTTTTCGTATATACTTTTCTCCAAACGTCCAACTGTTACGCTAATAATACCCAGACGAACGTTCAGCGCAACTATCAGTATACGTAAGAACGATGTTATTTAAATTTGACTTTATAATACATCCGAACTATTGTAGTTATTCTACTTCGATATCGTACTTTATATTATGAAGTATTACCTCGTGTCTGTTATCTAAAAGATGATTTCGGTACATCAATCGGCTGCTAAACTATTCGACGATTTAAAACCTGTCCAGTTCAATTGGTGATCTGACGACATTATCATCCGCGCGAATCATCAGTTTGTGCAGTCGAGCGAATCTCCTGCACACTGAAAACGACATTGTCGCCTCTATCCCAATACTGACAGCGTTTTTCACTGGTATCATTGACATGAGTCCAGAGTAACACTCTTGGTTTCTTATGGTCTTTTCGATATTTTTCTATTCGCTAATCGAACAAACAATCAGCAAGCATCGTTTATCATCTTTTGGAGACTTCACAGTGCCGTCTTCGCTCTGGATTTGTAGCCTTCGACCCTTACTGACTGTAACAGCAGTCACCGACTTTCAAAACTGACCACAAGTGGATTAATAGCCTCGCATGACGAAATCACGATTACTCTTCACGACTATACTTCTGTACTTACAGTTAGTCTGTTAAATATAGATATAGCTAGAAGTTGTCAACAACAATGTCTGACATTCATCTTTAAATCAATGGCAGTATAAACATCCGTATCGATTGATAATACACTTATCCTACTATCGCTATAGCATCATTGCTCTTGCGGCAAAGTTAATGTTTCTCATCTGAGAAACTCAATTACTTGTCAAAGCTATATACTTCAGCGCGACGTTAAGTTCTTTTTATTATTTCTATGGTTAATGGCTTTACGTTCAACCAACGTTCTACTAACATATTACTTGCTGTTTCTCGATCAGTTTCTGCCGCCTCGTTTCCATTTGTTTTGCAGCTCGGCAATACCCAGAGGATTCATATGAATCGTTTGGCAATCTCCGGCGCGCGACTACCGACATGTTTGGTACCGATTCAAACGGCCGTTGAATCTGGTGGGGGAGTATTGTAGGGCCAGTGAAATTCCACTGAGCCCTAGCCATTGAATATCGAACAAAATCATCAATCCTCGTCAATGTCAAGGACAACCAACGCGCATCAGTTAATCGTACGCCATGGACTGGCCAATGCGGCAGTGGTCTCACCTTCGCTTGTATCTACTTTAACTAATATATTTCTGTAATAACGTTCTCTGTGTTGTACAGTCTTCAAAGCATCTATAGTACCTTGATACTTCAATGGGGTAATCTATGTAAGGTGCAGACCGCGAAGTGTGACTTCGACGTTAGCTAGTTTGTCACACCACTCACGTCTAACTCGAGTAAGCCTCCAATCATTTCGACATAGATCATCCACGCTGGTGATCTACAAACTATATGTGTGATCAGATTGTTCGAAATGTATTGCGCTAATATATCACATAGTTCTGATAATCTCCGTCTTCTCATTGCATTATCGAAATTTATCAAAGGGACTAATTGCATTAATAGAATACTTTGAATCTAAACACATTGATTAAGTGAATTTCAGTATAATACATTTATAAGGCAATCATACTTTACGAAACGATTTATGAGAATCAGAAGTAATAGTTAAGTTTTACTTGCACTGAAGTGTGAATAACCTACAAAACTCGTAGTGAATGTTCACTTATATGTTAAGTGTTTATAATATTACAAGCAAAATATTACAAATGTGTTATTTTATGGTCATTAGAAGAAAAAAATTAAATGTTTAAATAATATTGTTGTCTGCTTCATTTTCTGTTTTTACAATACAAAAATGGACAGAACAGATTACCACAAATTCTTCAGTCACATTATCACGAAAAAGATATGGAAAATGCACAGATTATATAATTATGAACCGTAGTGATCGATATCATATTATATTTCGAAACGCCGATTTTCATTCAGCATAATAACACAGCCAATAATTAGTTTACATTTGTGTAAAAAAATCAACCAATATGTTCATTAGTTAATTATGATCAGCACCTTCCTAGATTTCTCACGATGGTCTTACAGTAAAAACTATTTCCTATGTTATCTAGTATTTCATATGGAAGTTTTTGGTCAGTACTTCCTCCAGAGAATAAACACAAAGGCTATTTCTTTCATATTTGTTAATCCAACTGGGACTGTAGAGCAAGTGACATCACCCGATGTTCCAGAAAACTACATTTTCGTGTCTATAAACAGCTCCAAGTTCAGATAAGTAAATGAATAGTTTAGCGTGCAAACAACTCCACCTTATCACATTTAGTTCAAACAGACCAAAAATGTTGCATGGACAAGTTACTCCTAATAATCTCCTAAAAGCGATTAGGCTCAACGTCCTTCAAATGGCATAAGAGTAGTCATAGAAAGTGAAAATATCGGAGTTCTGTAGATGTATGTTCTGTTGTTTCTCTTACCTTGGTCAGTCTCAAAACACAATTATAAGATAATCGAATTTGCAAACGTTTATATCCTATCCTCGGTTCAGTCAGCTGTAACGTAGGACCAGGCACGTATATGCATCGGTCCAAGTCCTCGGTTAAATGGTCACTACACATACTCTACTTGAAATAAAAGTATGATCACGTTTAAAAACGTAGTGATCTAGACAAAACATTTGTAATGTGGCGCAAAGTAGTTAGGTGTGGTAATCAAGTGTTGACTTTATTGACTAATCGATACCATACAGACCCCTGAATCTACAAACACAGGAAATCCAAGTTACATTGATCGAACATGCAATTAGAACAATAACAGACTAACAATGCACAAAAAGAGTTGGGTACACATGCTATTCAGAACCAAAACCCACTGAAGGACTCGCACTGCATGAAAAATGGGAGAAACACATGTTTGTTCCGTTTCCAGTAAAATAGCTAACAAATCGATATTTCATCATCAACTCACCCCTAAAAATCAAGTCGTCTTGCAATAAATAAGACATTTTGGTAGTCCTTTCAAATCAGTGTTACCAACATACCGACACAACCAGTCTATTCCATCTTACACACATTGAAGGTAGACAAGGGAAGCATCTTCAAAAGTGAACGCCCACTTCATTATGAACATAGACTAGCGGTGAAATATAACATACTACCACTTATACCAATCCACATACGTAAATATGGGCACGAATTAGGTTGAATAAACGTAAAAATTAGGAAGTCCCGAGAATAGAAGTCGTTAAAGATGTAGTGTCGGTTAAGCCCACATAACGTGTATGTGTGTGCACTTCTTATCATATTCATCACATGTCTGTAACTTATTTTTGTTCGGCTATAAATAGCAATTAACGCTTGATTAAATCGAGTTGGATTACGTGCCTTCTCCACTGAGCGTCATTTCGTCTCGCTTTGCTCTCTCTTCTCTTCGTTTTTCTGATTATCTGTCCAGATCAAAGTGTACAAAATATATGTATTCGAATTCCATTCTCGTATTTGACTTATTTAATTCCGTTATTCACTAACGCGGATTAAGTCGATAATTATGTACGAGGATTGACAATTTATACGTCTCAATAGCAATCAGAAACGATCTTACTGAAGTCAGATCCCAGGCCACTAAAACCCACCCTCGTGTATAGGAGGATTGCGTATTAGTATTAGATATGGACACTGCAAGTCACAATATTTTCAACTAATTACTCCTGAAAAGCCTAACAAACAAAATGCTTTAATCACTTTTATACAAGACATTCAAGATAGTTTTAAATAATATCCATTAAAGCAGTACCTCATTCTAATTAAAATAAACACAAGTTACTATTACAAACCATTGTTTCATTAAAGAAAAGACAAAAGAAATAAACTCAGTAAACTGATACACGCGCGCTAATCAATCATACAACTTAAGAATGCAAATGTTACAAGTAAAGTAATAATATTAAAAATAGTAATGATAAAAGTAGTAACATGTTGCAATATTAGTAATACAAATAACAATGATGAGTCGAACAACAAGCGGTATCATATGCAATTAATAGTTACATAACCAATTAAGACTATGAATAATAAATAGTATACGTAAATATTATATTTGTACAAAATTTTATCACAGTAAAGGAGAGATAAAGAAGAGTGAGAAATGCAAATTCATGACTAGTAAAATTATTATTTTTACCTAAGATATTCTAAATCATAGAATATCAGTAAAAAGATAATATATACTTACTTATGGAAACTACGTACTTGGTAAGAATAGTGTGTAAAAGAGAAGATGAAACAAAAAAGCACACGATGAATGTTATACATGTGTGCATACATACAAATTAAAATAATCCCTGGAAAGTATGAAAGTTTTTTTGTATATTATATTGTTTGAACTAGTAATAGATAGAATTGGACTTGTAAAAGTAGATAAAACATTAATATTGCATGTATACATAAGGATAGTGTTTTTTTTTAAGTGAAAAAAGGAAGTTAATTTAGTGAAAAAGAAAGAACTAGATAAAAACAAATTACTGTAAATAAGTAAACAAATAAGTTGATAATTATTCTAAGTAAATAGAGCAATGCAAACGAAAACTGAAATTGACACAACAGGTAACATTCCCAGAGATAAAAATTAGTTTATGGGATATTGTAGATGTTAAAAGAAATATCATGCATTAATTTCACTCTTGGAATGATTATATTTATGTACATATATGCAGACTTACAATTATATGATAAAGTTAGAAAATAAATGAAAGTAGACAAATTAATAAATGCATCATTACAAGGATATTCTGACAATAGAACAGAATACTGAACATTAAGTAAAAAATGGTCATTATTATTAATATTATATGGTGCATCAAGGAATAAAAGAATGTAAGTATTGAGATATGTTTTCCTTTTTATCGCATACAAAGTATATACGCAAAAAAAAATGATTTGATAAGATCATTTACTATGAATTTCGTGAACACAGAAACGACTGTGAAATATATATATAACTTCTTGATCTTTCATTACAGCTAAAAACTTATGAAATTTACGGCGTATGTGAATTCATGATTAGGCTATTAAGTGGTACTGTACAACAGTAAGCAGGTACAGATCTGGAGCGATGCATAACTTTACGAGTAGATGTACATTTAGATTCGTTTTGCCAAGGTGACCAATGAATATCAGCTTTTTGTTCGACAGTTAGTCGGTGATCAACACTAACAATAGACGATCTACAAGATGGTATGAATATACTGTGATGAGGAGTTGACGAAGTAGGTTGAGGTGTATCTGTTCGATCATTTTGTACATTAGAAGATACAGGTGTATTCAATACACGACCATTAACCATATATAAACCCTGAGAATGCCGTTTGCGTAGGCGGTGTTGACGATAAAGCCGGTGACATTTTGCACAAATAATACATGGCACAGCAACCATGATAAATGGAGCAGCAACCAGTAATAAAATCGTCAATCCAGTAAATACACTGACAACCTGATTTTAGGTGTAAACAAAATACATAAATCAACAAGATAATAAAATCTAACAATACATGAAAGAAGACTAGTATAATTTACCGTTAATCACAACGAATCAATCGAAAAAATTACTAGCTTCACAAAAATAATCAATCGTAATTGGATAAGTAATGAAATTAAGAAGAAGGGGAATAAGTTTATGTCTGTACTCACCTTTTCATGCTATGTAATGTGATTTTGGAGTTAGACTCAAACTTGTTGAAACCACTAACTAGGATGGTATATACTCAAATTAGATGTTTGTCTGTATCAGATTTATGCAGTTACAAGTTTAAAGACAATGAGTAGAAAACTTTGAACCTGAGTTTGATACTGGTTGGGACTCATCAATAAAGGATATTTTCAATAGTGTGAGAAGTGATGCCTAACTAAGACATTTGAACATGTCAATAACTGGGTTATTTGAGCCGCTTACCGTCAGAAAAAGAACCTTAGGCTAGTAGAATATTGCAACATAAAGGTGAAAGCCCTCACTAAAAAAACAAACTTATTAACATAAAATCATTCCGTCAAGCACATAAAAATAAAATTGTAACTATGCCTATAAGTCAAAGGTAAATATGAAAGATTTCACACAAAAGTGATAGCAGTTCTAACCTATGAAATGAAACCTGAAGTTAATTTGATAGATTAAAAAATATCGAAATACTATCATTCTATACAACAGTTTAATAGTAAAGTAGAATTACTATGAAAACAGACAAACCTTAATCTTGATAAATACTTTTCAGCTTTATTAAGTCATGGGTCTAAACTCCGGCTATTCAGTTCAACCGGAGAACAGTCAGTCAGTCAGCTGCAACGTAGGACCAGGCACATATATGCATCGGTCCAAGTTGCCATACCGCATTAGCACAACAAGATGAACACCGGATTCATAGAAGTAGTTAATTCACTGGTGGTAATATATAAAAGAAAGATTGTGTATAAGGAGATAGTACAGGAAGAAAGAATTAGTTCCTAGAAAGAAAGATTTGAAGTGATTTTAATCTCTTAGTTTAAAGGAAGACAGAGAGTGTATACACCGACGCCATTGTGATCGATTCTGAGCCATGTCACCAAGAGTCTCCAACCATTGGTTACGATAGTCACGCGGACCCCAACCAGGCAGTCTGCATCTACCAACATGGCTCAGACCAGAAGTTAGTGACTTCAAGCACTGATGCCACGTTTTGGTTTGAACGCCCCTAACTTTCTTCCAACCATTCCCAACAGCAGTTAGCATTGCGCGTCGTGGTAATCGGTGTTCAGGCATACGCAACACGTGGCCCAACCATCTCAGTCGATGAAGATTCATAACCTCATCAACTGATTTACCATCATTCCCTAGTACCCTGCGTCTAACCTCACTATTACTTACCCGGTGATCCCAGCAGATGCGAGCAATATTTCTAAGGCACCTGTGGTCAAATACTAGTAACTTACGAATATCTTCTACTCTTAAAGGCCATGTTTCGCAGCCGTATAGTAGAACGGAACGAACTGCCGCGCAGTATACTCGTCCCTTAATTGATAGACGGATATCTCGCCTTCGCCATAGATGACGTAAGTTGGCAAAGGCAAAGCGAGCTTTTCGAATCCGTGCTGAGATTTCGTCACACACCAACCCATTAGTGCTGATCAGACTTCCAAGACAAGTGAAGTTGTCAACGCGTTCGACTACTTCACCCCCTATCCTTAGTTCAGGTGTTGACGCAGACCAGTCCTGAAGCAACAACTTGCATTTGGAGGGAGAGAAGCGCATCCCAAACATTCTGGCATTGTTGCTCAGTGCTACCAAAAGACTCTGCATTTCATCAACGTCTTCACCAAACAGGACTGTCATCTGCGTATTCTAAGTCAATAAGTGGACCTCCTGGTAGGAGATCAATACCCGAGAATTCAGTCGAGGAGAGCGTTACTTCCATCAGTAGATCTATGATGAAGTTAAACAAAAAAGGAGAAAGTGGACAGTCTTGACGGACCCCACTTGAGGTTGCAAGAGCGGATGACAGTTCGCCATAAGCTCTGACTCGACTAGTAGTGTTCGAGTAAAGAGCTTTCACAATGTTTAAATCACTAGTAGATGTCACAGCTGCTTGTATGTCTTTCCAAGCAACATCGGGGTCAGCCTCGTTTTCAGAACTACCTAAGTGTGACCTCAGTTGTTCCTGGAACCTACTTTTGGTTTTCTCATTACTCAATTCGGTTCTAATGAGTCTTTTTTGTGTGGTTATTTTGCGTCCAGTGAGGCGCAAGCAGATGCGTGCTCGTATTAGAGCATGGTCGGAGTCCAAGCAGGTACTCCAGAATGAGCGACAATTTCCTACCAAGCCTCTCCGACGATGACTGATGGCAATATGGTCTATTTGAGTCCATCCTTGATTTGGTGCAGAGGGTTATTATTTATTTATTTATCTTAACACATAAATATTGGTTCAAGAGGGCACCAAATATATATGCGCCACACAGATCTCATTGGATACGTGTGAGGGCTGTGATACTGTCCAGGTGCCGGACATGTGAGAGTATTTCGAGAGGGAGAGCGGATTCTCCCCACTCTCGGCCGTACCAGGGCATTTGGGTGCTCTCCAGAGGTAAGGTCTCAACAAGTACGGAGCTAACACAAAAATTACTCATAAAAATGTCGTGTGTGACCGACTTCAAGCAGCTGTCCCTTGGGCACTGCGGTCACGCTCTCAGGTCACTATGACCACCTCTAATCCAATTTCCTTTACAGGTACCTCCAGCAGAACCCTTCCACGGTGTGTGCAACCGGGAAGTGATAACCGCCCTCATACCTCTAACAGCACTCAAGACCACTGTATTCATAATCAACCTACCTCTTCAATTCCTATCATTCCTCTTACATCGACTTTCAAATCTAAACTCCCTCTTTCGGCTTCCTCCTCAAGTGTCACCACAGCCAACGATTCTAGTGCGCAAAACACTGTCACAGGTCTACTGAAACCTCGCTCCAAACTACACATTGGAGCCTTCAACGTACGCACACTATGTCAAATCGGTCAGCAGGCTTCCTTGGCTAAAACCTTAGAATCTCGTACGATTGATGTATGCTGTGTCTCCGAAACACGCATACAGGATCCTAGTGTGGTCATTCACTTGACCTCACCTCGGCAAAACGGAGTACCGACGAGATACACCCTCCGTGTATCTGGCGACCCGATGGCTAGTTCTCGTGGACTTGCAGGTGTAGGCATAGCACTAAGCATGAGGGCGGAACAAGCGCTATTAGAGTGGATCCCCGTTAATAGTCGTCTAAGCGCTGTTCGGCTAAACGGCTCGGTAAGAACTCGGAAGGATAGGGACACATGTCATTGCCTTTTCGTCGTTTCTGCCTACGCTCCCACTGACTGCAGTTCGGATGAAGTGAAAGATGAATTTTACAGAAAGCTGTCTGAACTTCTTCACAAAGCTAAACGTTCATACATAGTACTCGTAGCAGGCGACTTTAATGCCCAGGTACGTAGCTTAAACGAAACAGAAAGACATTTAGGTGGGTATTTTAGTATTCCGGCACAGAGAACAGATAATGGTGATCGTCTGCTGCAACATTGCTCAGACAATCGTTTATTTTTAGCAAACACAAATTTCAAGCATAAGGAGAGACATCGTGTAACATGGCGACCCACTGCACCAAACCAACGATGGACTCAAATAGACCATATTGCCATCAGTCATCGTCGGAGAGGCTTGGTAGGAAATTGTCGCTCATTCTGGAGTACCTGCTTGGACTCCGACCATGCTCTAATACGAGCACGCATCTGCTTGCGCCTCACTGGACGCAAAATAACCACACAAAAAAGACTCATTAGAACCGAATTGAGTAATGAGAAAACCAAAAGTAGGTTCCAGGAACAACTGAGGTCACACTTAGGTAGTTCTGAAAACGAGGCTGACCCCGATGTTGCTTGGAAAGACATACAAGCAGCTGTGACATCTACTAGTGATTTAAACCACAGGGTTACAAAGAACCAATGGATTTCTTAAAGGTCTATTGCACTGATAGATTCTCGTAAACTCATCCCATCAGGTTCTGAACACGATGAAGAGCGGAAACAAATCAGATCTAGGTTAAGCAAAAGTCTAAGGGACGATCGTGAGCAGTGGTGGGCAACGAAAGCAAAAGAGATGGAAAAGGCGGCGGCTATAGGGAACACAAGACAACTCTACAGACTAATAAAAGAAACTGGAACTAATAAGTCAAGTGTAAGTCAGACTATTTCGGAAAAAGACGACAATCTCATCTACTCCCAGTCCAGACGTTTAGAACGATGGGCGGAACATTTTAAGGAGCAATGCAGTTGGCCTTCAGCTACTCTACAACTAGCATCTATTCCCAGACAGTATGAATGGAACATTGAAGTAGGTCCCCCAACTCTAGCTGAAGTTCAAAAGGGTATAGCTAATCTGAAACGAGGAAGGGCAGCTGGTCCAGATGGATTGGCCCCAGAGGTCTTTAAAGATGGTGGTCTAGTTTTAGCGATTAGGTCGACTAATATTTTAGCTAAAATCTGGGAGTTAGACGTTATCCCATCTAACTGGTCACAATCACTTATCGTCCCAATATTTAAGAAAGGGTCAAAATCATCCTGTGACAACCATAGAGGGATTAGTTTGACTAATATAGCATTTAAAATACTAGCCTCGATAATTATAGGACGCCTAACTAAGACTCGTGAGCTGCAAACACGTGAAAATCAGGCTGGCTTCAGACCTGGTCGTGGCTGCATCGACCACATATTCACCATTCGTCAGGTTCTAGAACACAGGCATACTTATCGGCGTCCGACAATAGTGGTCTTCCTTGATTTAAAAGCAGCGTTTGACTCTGTTGACCGAGAGGTTCTGTGGCAGTGTCTGTCATTGAAAGGCGTACCTCAAAAATACATAAACATTGTGAAAGCTCTTTACTCGAACACTACTAGTCGAGCCAGAGCTTATGGCGAACTGTCATCCGCTCTTGCAACCTCAAGTGGGGTCCGTCAAGACTGTCCACTTTCTCCTTTTTTGTTTAACTTCATCATAGATCTACTGATGGAAGTAACGCTCTCCTCGACTGAATTCTCGGGTATTGATCTCCTACCAGGAGGTCCACTTATTGACTTAGAATACGCAGATGACAGTCCTGTTTGGTGAAGACGTTGATGAAATGCAGAGTCTTTTGGTAGCACTGAGCAACAATGCTAGAATGTTTGGGATGCGCTTTTCTCCCTCCAAATGCAAGTTGTTGCTTCAGGACTGGTCTGCGTCAACACCTGAACTAAGGATAGGGGGTGAAGTAGTCGAACGCGTTGACAACTTCACTTGTCTTGGAAGTCTGATCAGCACTAATGGGTTGGTGTCTGACGAAATCTCAGCACGGATTCGAAAAGCTCGCTTTGCCTTTGCCAACTTACGTCATCTATGGCGAAGGCGAGATATCCGTCTATCAATTAAGGGACGAGTATACTGCGCGGCAGTTCGTTCCGTTCTACTATACGGCTGCGAAACATGGCCTTTAAGAGTAGAAGATATTCGTAAGTTACTAGTATTTGACCACAGGTGCCTTAGAAATATTGCTCGCATCTGCTGGGATCACCGGGTAAGTAATAGTGAGGTTAGACGCAGGGTACTAGGGAATGATGGTAAATCAGTTGATGAGGTTATGAATCTTCATCGACTGAGATGGTTGGGCCACGTGTTGCGTATGCCTGAACACCGATTACCACGACGCGCAATGCTAACTGCTGTTGGGAATGGTTGGAAGAAAGTTAGGGGCGTTCAAACCAAAACGTGGCATCAGTGCTTGAAGTCACTAACTTCTGGTCTGAGCCATGTTGGTAGATGCAGACTGCCTGGTTGGGGTCCGCGTGACTATCGTAACCAATGGTTGGAGACTCTTGGTGACATGGCTCAGAATCGATCACAATGGCGTCGGTGTATACACTCTCTGTCTTCCTTTAAACTAAGAGATTAAAATCACTTCAAATCTTTCTTTCTAGGAACTAATTCTTTCTTCCTGTACTATCTCCTTATACACAATCTTTCTTTTATATATTACCACCAGTGAATTAACTACTTCTATGAATCCGGTGTTCATCTTGTTGTGCTAATGCGGTATGGCAACTTGGACCGATGCATATATGTGCCTGGTCCTACGTTGCAGCTGACTGACTGATTTAATCATTCTAACCAAAATAGATCATATTTCTGAAATTGAAAACACTTACTGAAAGTTGAATACACAAAGATTACACACAGGTGTAGGTGAAATAGTTTTTGATCCATGATTGAATGATTAAGTATTCTCTTCACTAATTGACAATTCTAAAAGCATGTATAAGCTAGGTAGTATTGAATATTTATCAAGTTCTGATGAGAAATAAAATTGTTATTTATGGTGGACAATCGCAGTCAAATAGCCATTTATCACAATATTTTATAAATTGAAAGATTTGATGTGATAATTATTTTTAGTTGAAATCACCAAGTTTTACTCAGAAGTGATAAATATAACTTGGTAAGTGAACGACGGAATTGAGGTTACCAGCGGTACCCAGAATTCCCGGTCATTTTTCCGTTTACCTAGTGGTCAAACTCCGTAAACAAGAGTGTGATTTTCATTGAAGATTTCATTTTAGGCCTTAACTCTCGCCGCATCATGCACATTGATATGTGTTAAACTGATATGTTCACGGTGAACAGAAGTGGATAAATTTAGACTGCACTTTTAAATGTACCACTTACCCACTGAATGAATGGAAAAATACCTGAAAATGTTAGATATTGGACACTTACTGAATATTGAAAAACAGATAGATAATATGAACCACTGAAAGTGATAATTTACAACTATTACATAAAATCCAACTTTTTTTCTACGAAATTCCTAAATCTTGCCAAATGAAATGGGACCAAAAAAATGCTAATTAAAGCGTTTGATTTAATGAAAGCATACTTAATCAATGTACAGCAAAACCACAACAGATAACAATATTTCCAATTAAGGAAATTGTGAAGAATGTAACTTTTTTACATTAAAATAACTTACATAAACTCGATGACCAATTACTGATGCACGAGAATGACCAAGTTTTCCTTTACAGGCCCCGTCATCATAATGTTGAAGAAGGAAATCATCCTGGAAAATAAAGTATGAGTGAAACAGAATTTCCGATAAATTACACTGACAAACAATAAGTGATAAATATGACAAATAATTTCCATTAAAATATTAAGAAAAATGGGGTTCAGTGAAGGGACTACTAAGTTAACAGAGGATTATAATGTGTGTGGAGTAAGACAACTAAAATGTTTTTGTTACAATAAATAAAGGTAACAGGGGTAAGATGAAGTGAAGTAATAACAGAAACAAAGACGAACAAAATCGTGGGTACATGAGAAATACTTCCAGGGATGGGGATATTTTCAATACTACTACTACTACTACTACTACACTACTACTACTACTACTACTACTACTACTACTACTACTACGACTACTACTACTACTACTACTACTACTACTACTACTACTACTACTACTACTACTACACTACTACTACTACTACTACTACTACTACTACTACTACTACTACTACTACTACTAACTACTACTACTACTACTACTACTACTACTACTACTACTACACTACTACTACTACTACTACGACTACTACTACTACTACTACTACTATACTACTACTACTACTACTACTACTACTACTACTACTACTACTACTACTCTACTACTACTACTACTACTACTACTACTACTACTACTACTACTACTACTACTACTACTACTACTACTANTACTACTACTACTACTACTACTACTACTACTACTACTACTACTACTACTACTACTACTACTACTACTACTACTACTACTACTACTACTACTACTACTACTACTACTACTACTACTACTACTACTACTACTACTACTACTACTACTACTACTACTACTACTACTACTACTACTACTACTACTACTACTACTACTACTACTACTACTACTACTACTAACAATAATAATAATAATGATACTAATAATTATACACAAGTTAGTGGCTATCTGGACTCAGTAGCTAAGTGGATAACGTGATGGCGTCTGAAGCTAACGGTATTGGGTCCGAGCCCCTGAGTGAACATCAACTTTAGGATGCAGGTACATCTGGCTGATGAGTCCCAGATAGGACGAGACGCGCGTTCTGAATCCCACTGGTAGCCACCATCCACCCCTATTTATAATGCTTGTGAATATTCCCACACAAACGCACACACAAAGCTACACGGGTCTCGCCATATCACACTACAAAGAATCAGATCGATTATATTCGCATGACTAAAAAAATTCAGAGGATCCACGAAGACGTGAGAACCAAGAGAGCAGCTGATATAGCTTCAAATGACCACCAACTGGTGGTTGCCAACATGAAGCTGAAGCTAAGCAACCACTCGACAACTGCAGAAACAGCATCACAAAGGTTCAATACAGACAGTGGAAAACGCCGCAAGAGAAGGAAATATCAGACAACTATATAACACAACGAACAAACCAGCAGAGAAATATTGTATACCAGAGTGACCACTCAAGGACGAAAAAATCAATCCAATCATTGAGATTCAAGAACAGAGGAACAGATGGGTAGAGCACTTTGGATACCTCGTAAATAGGCCAACTCCATTCAGTCAACCAGACAACGAAGCAGCATACACACACAACTTTCTATCAATGTCTCTCCACCAACGATCGAAATCAGCATGACCATCAGACAGATCAAGAGTGAGGAAGTAACAGGACCTGACGACATACCACCTGAAGCATCAAAGTCACACATACAATTAACTGCAAACACGATCCAAATTCTATTCAGGAAGATTTAGGAGGAAGAACAAGTGTCACTGACAGACTGGAAAGAAGGAAACCTCAATAAGATATCAAAGAATACGAAAACTACAGAGGCATCACACTAGTATCAGTACCAGGAAAGGTTTTCAACAGTGTTGCTGAACCAGATGAACGATTCAGTAGACACCCAGCTTTGACATCAACAGACAGGATTCCGTAAGGATAGGTCGTGCACAGACCAAATCGCGACACTATGGATTCTCGTTGAACGATCAATTGAATGGAATTCGTCATTACACTTCAACTTTCTCGACTGTGAGAAAGCGTTTGACAACGTGGACAGGAGAACCTTACGAAACCTTCTTAGACACTATGGTACACCTGAGAAAATAATCAACATCATACAAAATTGATACGACGGACTACACTGCTAAGTCATGTATAGAGGGCAGCTCACAGACGCATTCCAAATGAGGACCAGTGTCATACAGGACTGCTTACTCACACCTTTTCTCTTTCTTCTAGTGATTGACTGGACTATGAACACCTGCACATCTGAGAGAAAATACGGAATACAATGGACAGCTTGGACGCAACTAGATGATTTGGACTTTGAAGATGACCCAACACTTCTATCCCACACACACCAACAAATTCAGGTCACGACAACCAGTGTAGCAGCAGCAGCAGCCTATGAAACAGAAGACCTCAACATTCACACGGAAAAAGCAACATCCTCAAATGCAACACGCAGAACATCAACACCATCACATTTGATGGAGAAGCTCCGTAAGTGGTGGAAACCTCCATATACCTGGACAGAAGAGACATCGATGAACAAGGAGGATCTGATGCAGGCGTAAAGACAAGCATTGGCAAAGAAACAACAGCATTCCTACACGTGAACAAAATATGCAACTCAAAACTCTCTATCAACCAATATCAAAGTCACAATCTTCAGTACGAACGTCAAAACAATTCTACTGGACAGAGCTGGAACTTCTAGAACTACTACAAACATCATCAAAATAGTACGAGTATTTATAAACAATTGTCTACTCAAGATACTCAATGTCCGTTGTTGACCAGATACCATCAGCAACCGCCTTCTGTGACAGATAAAAAATCAGCTTCCAGTTGAAGAGGAAATCAGGAAAAGACAATGGAAGTGGATAGGACATATATTGTGGAAATCACCAAACTGCATCACGAGACATACACCAACTTGGAATCCTGAAGGAGAACGGAAAAGAGGGAGACCAAAGAACACAATGCGTCGAGAATTGGAAGCAGACATGAAAAGGATTAACAGAAATTAGAAACAATTGGAAAGGATTATCCAGGACAGATTTGGATGGAGAATACTGGTGAGCGGCCTATGCTCTTCCATGAGGGTTAACAGGCGTAAGTAAGTGATATTGTGTTTCAGTCAAAATGCATCAATACCCTATGTAGAAGTAACTGTTACTTTTATTATAATACTAAAAAGCAGACTGGCCATCATTGGTATTTGTTTTTTCTAAACTCCGAAACTTTCATGAATGTGCTTGGACTCATTCGAAACATTTACTAGATCGCTTCAATATTCGATCAGTACATTAAGTTCGTTGTAAGAGTTAATATTACCATGAACCAATGGTAATCATTAACACTTCTTACTTTAACTCCTAGGTTTAAAAAACATTAATAATGAATTTCTAGTACTTGTCCTATATCTTTGTTTACTGTGATAGATTCATGAGGAAATAAGCATACTTGTGCTAAGTATTCAAAAACGTCCTCAAATCGAAACAGATATTCATGACACCAGTTACGAAAAGCAAGCACACTTATTTCAAGTTTAAACAATCAAAGCGGTATCAGGCCTACATATATGTAAGTGCAGACCGAACTCATTTGAAAGTTAAATAACCAGAGTAACAATATTATTTCATGAAATAAACTTACATCCAATGAAGTCAAACAATACCAGCAAAAGGTATGTTTGCATGACCGGCACATCATTTGAGCGCAACCTTCGATACGTTCAATAGGGACTAGACAGGCAGGACAACGTTTCAGCCAGTCATCAGGAGAATATGGAGGAAACCCAACAGCGAGAACGGAGACATCAATTGTATCACTGATATCCTGATTGGAAAGATGAATACCTGTATGACTCTGTAGATAATTACGCCGTTTTTTTTTGGACCGCCGGAGTGAGATTTTATTTATTTTGTTTTTCTCTGGAGGTTTTCTCAAGGATGGTAATGACTTTATGATTTCTGGATTTTGCGTTACAAACTGTGACTGGTGTTTCTCAAATATAATTGGATCTGGGTCTGAATGAGGATTAATATGATCAGAGGCATTTACACTTTTCTCAGAAATTCCAAGTAAATTATGTTGGCTAGTAAATTGAGTGTTTAAATTTTTATTACCTTTGACAACGTTACGAGGATATTCTTCACACACATACGGTCCAACTCCGATGTGCCAGTTTAAATGACATCGAGCACAAAATTCATGAGAACATTGTTTACATACGACGCGCACAGCTGGGCGACCAGGACTCACTTGACACATCAACGTTGTTTTTTCAGAGATATGGAGTAAATCCTTCTCTCCAGCACTTTCACTGGTAGGTGTCTACAGAAAGAAAATGTTAACAGCTGTGAAATAAATGAAGAAATTTTCAAAATTTGAAATTATGGATTCTTCCCACCATGCAAACAGCTTTTACAACTCCGTAAATTGGTGTTAAATTATAGGAAATAACCAAACAAACAATAAACTTTAAAACTATGGTAAAAAAGAGGTTACTTGCCAACATTGGATACACAATACAACTAAATAGCCATAACATGAGACACATTTATCGTAAGACATTACCATTACAACAAGTGAGATATGAGAACTTTCACAGAGAATGCAAATTAATCAAAGATGATATCCAACTGAATACATAACCGACGATATTATGCAAAATACTACATAGCACAAACTCAAAATACAATGTCCTGCAAATATATAGTTTAGTGATAGAATAACTAAATCCAACGTTTCACGTAATAAAACCAAAAAATTCGCACAAAACAAACAGGAAATAGCACAATTAGGTAACTAAATCAAGTTGAATAACGAAATAATGCTTACTGTTACACAATCTTCTTTGTCTTCATCCCTGAGATTATTGATAGGCTTGTAATATGCGTTATTTAGGATTTTTGATGCGTCGTCGGTACGAAAACTCGTGCTTTTGGTGCTGGAAGAAACATGAGTGGTATCTCCTTGTGAACTGCAAAGATATCTTCTGTACCATCTAGTAAACCGTTCCAGAGCATGTTTATTACTTCTGGTAGATGGATTTATTCCATTTGGTATGGGCACTTTTAAAACAGAAGGAACTTGGCACACAGCACCACAATTTACTGCTGGGCAAAATGTCAGGTTTACATTCTGTTCGATTTCTGAATATTTATGTTACAGTTAGGAAAAATGGACAACAAACTGACCTCGCTGAAGCTTCTTTACAGAAAAACGTTCGTAAACGTCAGAAGGCAGCAGTTCTCTTATCTAGAGTAATAGAAATTTGGATAACTGAAACATCTTACCTCTGAGTCTGTCAACTGACCACTTTGACTACATGGATAACTTGGACAAGCACAGTTAACATCAACTCGATCTCGCAATACCGTAATAACATACGTTTTTAAGCACTATGGAATAAAAATACTTAGACTTAATGCAAGCTTTGATATGAATCTACTCTCGATTGATAAGGAAACAATTATAGTAATGCAAGCTTTGTAAAGCTCCTAAAGCACTTAGATTTTATAACTTTAAAAAGTCGTTCAAATACACAGCTGAATAGTAAACTTTAATGTAGCAGGAAGTGATGCTGCTATAAAAGATCTTAATCTACCGTTATAAAGGGCCTGTTTAATGAATGAGTCATCAGTATATAAATCGGCTATGTAAGGTTTAAAAGAATGATTTGCATAACCCATGTTTTTTGCAAAGCCAGAACAGCATGTTCTTTTTGGTTCATTCTCCACCGAACGCTTGAACAGCGCTGCAAATTTTACGGTAAAGATCGATGTTTATATTAAAGCTTTCGACTTCCCAAAAAGGATTCTCTTATAGGATTGTCCGTTGAACGAGGATGTCTAAAAAATTTGTTAACATAGTGAAAGCTGATCACAAAAACTAAGAAAACATAACATGAGAAAGCAACATTCTTTCCGACGATTTGAACCAGCAGCATATTTTTCACAGGATTGCTTAGTCTGACCATAATTCCAAAGCATATTAAGAATACAGCTTCCATGGTTCAGAGACTTATGTCAATCATTTAAAGGGCCTTTATATCGCCAACTGCTCGGATTGAAAGTAGAGATAGTAGGCTTGTGATGAAATAGTGGAGAGATAGTAGTATTAATTTGTCATGATTAGCTGAGTGAAGCCCGAGGAATCATGGGATTCAGTGGTCTAAGTCAGTCAGTCAGTCAGCTGCAACGTAGGACCAGGCACGTATATGCATCGGTCCAAGTTGCCATACCGCATTAGCATAACAAGATGAACACCGGATTCATAGAAGTAGTTAATTCATTGGTGGTAATATATAAAAGAAAGATTGTGTATAAGGAGATAGTACAGGAAGAAAGAATTAGTTCCTAGAAAGAAAGATTTGAAGTGATTTTAATCCCTTAATTTAAAGGAAGACAGAGAGTGCATACACCGACGCCATTGTGATCGATTCTGAGTCATGTCACCAAGAGTCTCCAACCATTGGTTACGATAGTCACACGGACCCCAACCAGGCAGTCTGCATCTACCAACATGGCTCAGACCAGAAGTTAGTGACTTCAAGCACTGATGCCACGTTTTGGTTTGAACGCCCCTAACTTTCTTCCAACCATTCCCAACAGCAGTTAGCATTGCGCGTCGTGGTAATCGGTGTTCAGGCATACGCAACACGTGGCCCAACCATCTCAGTCGATGAAGATTCATAACCTCATCAACTGATTTACCATCATTCCCTAGTACCCTGCGTCTAACCTCACTATTACTTACCCGGTGATCCCAGCAGATGCGAGCAATATTTCTAAGGCACCTGTGGTCAAATACTAGTAACTTACGAATATCTTCTACTCTTAAAGGCCATGTTTCGCAGCCGTATAGTAGAACGGAACGAACTGCCGCGCAGTATACTCGTCCCTTAATTGATAGACGGATATCTCGCCTTCGCCATAGATGACGTAAGTTGGCAAAGGCAAAGCGAGCTTTTCGAATCCGTGCTGAGATTTCGTCAGATACCAACCCATTTGGGCTGATCAGACTTCCAAGATAGGTGAAGTTGTCAACGCGTTCGACTACTTCACCCCCTATCCTTAGTTCAGGTGTTGACGCAGACCAGTCCTGAAGCAACAACTTGCATTTGGAGGGAGAAAAGCGCATCCCAAACATTCTAGCATTGTTGCTCAGTGCTACCAAAAGACTCTGCATTTCATCAGCGTCTTCACCAAACAGGACTATGTCATCTGCGTATTCAGTGGTCTAAAACGCTATCTGATCTAGCTTAGAATAAATGACAGTGGTTATTCTATTGAATTCCTCGTAAAAGAAGTCTTCCTTCGAAAGGAAGTAAATAATCCCGTTTTTGCTATTACTTACTTACTTACTTACGCCTGTTACTCCCAATGGAGCATAGGCCGACGACCAGCATTCTCCAACCCACTCTGTCCTGGGCCTTCTTTTCTAGTTCCATCCAATTCTTGTTCATTTTTCTCATATCTATCTCCATTTCCCGGCGTAATGTATTCTTTGATCTTCCTCTCCTCCTTCGGCCTTGAGGATTCCATATGAGGGCTTGTCTTGTGACGCAGTTGGGTGTTTTCCTCAATGTGTGTCCTATCCACTTCCAGCGCTTCTTCCTGATTTCTTCCTCCACTGGGATCTGATTTGTCCTCTCCCACAGTAGGTTGTTGCTAATAGTGTCCGGCCAACGGATCTGAAGTATTTTGCGTAGACAACTGTTAATAAACACCTGTATCTTTTGGACGATGGATTTCGTAGTTTTCCAGGTTTCCGCGCCACACAGTAGAACTGTCTTCACATTTGTATTTAAAATCCTGACCTTGGTGTTGGTTGACAGCTGTTTTGAGTTCCAGATGTTCTTCAGTTGTAAATATGTTGCTCTTGCTTTGCCGATCCGTGCCTTCATATCTGCATCAGATCCACCGTGTTCATCGATGATACTGCCCAAATATGTAAAGGTTTTTGCATCTTCCAAAGCTTCTCCGTCAATTGTGATTTGATTGGTGCATGCTGTGTTGTATCGAAGAATCTTGCTTTTCCCTTTGTGTATATTGAGACCTATTGCTGCTGAGGCTGCAGCTATACTGGTTGTCTTTTCCTGCATTTGTTGTTGCGTATGCGATAGAAGAGCCAGATCATCTGCGAAGTCTAGATCTTCCAACTGCACCCTAGCTATCCACTGTATCCCGTGCTTCCCTTCAGATGTTGATGTCTTCATGATCCAGTCGATCACCAGGAGAAAGAGAAAGGGTGAGAGTAAGCAACCTTGCCTAACACCAGTCTTTACTTCGAACGACTTTGTCAACTGTCCTCCATGCACGATTTTGCAGTTTAATCCATCATAGGAATTCTGTATGATATTGACTATCTTCTGAGGCACGCCGTAGTGTCTAAGAGGCTTCCAGTTTTTGCTATAACTTGAAGCATATTGTTCGGTGCGTACTGCCCCTGTTATTTATCCATTGTATGAATTTTTTATCTTTTTGATTGAAAGTGATGTCATTTCGTTTGGATGGTACAGTTCCAAATGCCCTACTGCACTAAAACCTCGTTCGTAACGGAAATGAGTTGTAGAATACAGTGATACCATAGAATAAAAAAATGGTACGATATGTAGACCAGATCATATGACAGAAAATTAAATTCGGACAATATATGCATACAGCTGCATAACCGGTTTATCGACAAATTGGTTTAAACATTCTAGTGATGCATATTTCTTTTATCATACTTTATGAGAACACTGAGAATTATGTGAGGCTAACATCCATAGACTTCGTAAGACGTAAACATCCAAATATCGTATTGTACAGCTGTCTAAAGCTAAGGGTATGTTAAAGCTTAATATATCCACCATATTCGAGTTAACCGAAAACCGGCTATAACTTTGGTCATAGCATAACTTACACTTGTTCAACTGTCCCTTCAGGCGGAAGAAAAATCCAATACTTAGAGCTAAATTAACGCCCTAGTCACTAGCACTACAAATCATGTTTTTACAACAATGCACTAATGAAAATATTTATATGAAACAAACACCTAATTTTCGCATGTTTCGAATCATATTATAAATTCTTTTTTGAACAAAAGAAGTGCGTAAGGATTAAAATATGTGCCAAACAGTAAAATCACTACGAAAAATCGAAAGGTGAAGAGAGATGGCAAAAAACTACATGGGGATATGACCTAAACTTTACTGAGGTTTTTGTGTAAGTTTGTTGCGTTAATATAAATGAAGTAGTGGAAAACGATTCAGCCACTTAGCTTTGATTACAAGCAATAAGTGGTGACGTCTCAAATGCATGACAATAAAAACCCTTGTAAAATATGGCCGCTGAGCACCTACAGACGTTGACTTATCATATTTTTTGCTTGACAATAGCATACTAGAAATTTTTTTCTTTTACTCAGTTTCAGAGGCAGATACATTTAAAAAAACCCAGCTAGAATGATACACGTAATGCTATCCTAATAAGTATTGGCCTAATGAATAATGATATATAAAGAACGGTAACAAACCATAATACGAATGTTTTTTTAAACAAACGCGAATATCAAGATGATTCTTAAGAGGTTAGCAATATATTTATACAAGGTGATTTCCACACTAACTTCGAGTGGCGGTTAAGTGTTATCAACTAATCAGTCACTGAAGCCTAAACAACTTGGAAAAGATGCTCGTGTTTGAAGCCAAGAGACTAGGGTTAATCCTCTGAAAGAGTACCAGCTTTGAGCCCTCTCCTAAGAACAACTAACAAAAATGTAGTTACGGAAGTCTAAATAGTGATTATAAATGACAGAATCACAGCGACACAATCGCGAAGCATTAGTGGAGTTTTGGCGAGACCAATTTATGGAGTCTTGCCAGAGTTTTTACCAAGCTATTGAGCGATACAATATCTATTTTATGTAAACGTCTTCGGATTTTTCGAACGGTTACTATGTATTATCCGTCAACTTCCCATATGGCTCACCTCAGTTAGCCACTTCTAAGGCCTTATGAGAAATGTGCTGAGCAGAAAAAAGATCCTTGTTTACTAGGTACTTTAGCTATACTGTTTCTAGAAGCCTAACTATTTCATATATCCAACCATTTTGTTTGTAAACAAACTGATTCATTGAACGCCTGAGTAATTGCTTACAGAAAATTTACCATATCTTTGTTACCGAAAAATTCTAAACATACATATGCATAAAAAAACGACCTCAGCCAAATAGTCGTATTAATACATTACATAATACATAAGTTCTCATTTACAGTCAACTAAACTAACCTGACGGCAAAAAGAACACCCGCAAGCAGAAAGAAATAACATGTTTCCATATGGCACTGCATCAAAGCAAATATTACAGTGTCCATACTCAGTCTCTATCATTCTGAGGGCTAACCTTGACCGACCGCCATCAGATGAAATCGCGCGAGCTTAGTGGCTATGTGACCTTTGTACATACGGTTCAACTGGTTCTGGATGGAATAGTAGCTTTCACTTAACAGGCTTCCGCATCTAGTAGTAGTAGGTCACCGATGCCTTTAGATAGGAACCTAGACATATGGACGATAAAAGAGGAAAAGGAAAAAAGGTTAACATATAATAGTAAGATACTGCCCTTGGTCCTTAAGGATATATCGCGTTTTCTCGTAATGGACTCCTGAGAAGTCGCTTGGACTAACTCATCCGGTAGCGGCTTCCAGCATTTGACTACCCTCAAGGAGTAGAAGGTGTGCCTACAGTCTGTTCTGCTATATTGTGTCTCCAGTTTCTATGTGTTTGTATTGAGACTAAGCTCGTGAAGTTGTTTAAATGGATGCCCAGAAGTGTTAAGGATGTTATGTGTCATAAGAAGATTACTTCTACGACGCTTGTATTCTAGTGAGTAAAGGTTTAGTGAGTGAATGCGCTCTTCATAAGACATGAATTTGAGTACCCGAACTGATTTCGTGGCTCGCCGCTGGATACGTTCCCGTGTGTCCTTAACATTTTGAAATGAGGGAGTACACATTAAATTTCCATGCCCTACATGGGATATGATGAAACAGATGAAGACTAAGTGGAACTGGTTGAACTTCGATGTTGCTAATACAGGGTTTGCTGGGAAGACATTTTGTTGCAGTTAGCGTGAGACTTCAAATCGAAGGGTACCAATACTCCTCATTCTTTCCAACTTGGAATACTTCCAGAGCGGATCTACCTGATCTGTGTTTGTATTTAGCAACATGTCTGAAATGAGCTGCCTTACACTTCGAAGTGCTAAAAGTAAGTCCGATGTTGTCTGCCCAAATTCGATGTCGTGTCAAACCCCTCTGAAGTGCCAGATTATCCTCGTTGTTGCAGACTTCTCTCCAGAGTTTCACATCGTCAACGAAAAGAAATAAGTCTGACGATACCTGCTGTGAATAATTGCTTGTGTACATTAAAGAATGAAGTGGTCCTCGTATAGAATCCTGATGAACCCCAATAGGACATTCTATAGTCTGAGACTATGTGAAATCAACTCTGTCTTGAAATGTCGATTTCTAAGATATAAAGTGAACTTGTGGAATTATGGTCTACTGTGGTATTAGTACTGCTCTAATAATAGACCTAATTCTTACGTGGAAGTCACATCATCGTCTACACCAACTCATCGCATAGTAACAATCGCCAATACATGATGGAGAACAAGCTTAGACTAGAGAGAGAACAATATACTTAATATAAATGAAAGATATAAGATAACATTCAACGGGTGCCACTCCTGCAGGGCCGAGCCATGCCATCTGATCAACTTGAATTAACTCAATTAATTGTTCCCGCCTTCCTCATCGTTAGGTTTTTCTCCGCGTTAAATGTTGAACATCTATATTCTCAAGTGTCTCCCGTTCAGATTTGAGGATTGTGTGATAGGGCCTGCTGCCACCACACTACTCTCCCACCAGAATCAACGTGATGTTGATTCGGTACCAAATTGGATGGAATTGTCGCGCGCCGGAGGTTAGCCAGAATAACGAGAATCCTCCGGGTATTGATAAGCCGAAAGATAAAGCAAGCAGATATTTTGAAGCTATTAAATGTATTACCTGATCACTTGCTGCCGCTATTCTGTTCGGTTCTTCCAGAAGGTCGGCGGCGTCACCATTGTTTTGATTGGGTCATTGGTAAGCAGGATCGCATGTACATAGTTACTCCCCTCCCAGTCCTCGCTTTATGTCGTTGTGAAACAAAGACATCTAGGGCAACGCAAGCTTCTGATTCGTTATTTGAGATGTCCACATTCCAGATATTCCTATCAGATGATATTATCAGCATTACTGAGTTCACGCAGCGTCCATATACAAGTAGTTTATCCTTTCAGTTTAGGACGCGTGAGTTTCTCCATCCTGTTTATCTGTATTAGCCTTATATGGATGACAGTTAACCTACCTACACAGGGTTTTCCGAGTTGGTAGTCCTTTTCGTTTCAACGATTTTCACGGTCCTGACAGTCCTTAAGAAGAATATTCAGCTCAAATTTGCTTTTGTGATTGATCTTGTATGCATATGGATTCCAGTTGGCAACCGGCATCTGTTACCACGAAATGCTTAAAAAGTGGCGACCGCCATATGGGAGGACGAGAAGGTTATATTTACTAGCCGCGGTCCAGAACCCCCGTCCTTTTTGGCTAGTAAATATGAATAAATATGCTATTGAGCTTTAATGACAGCTTGGTGAATCTCCACTCCCGAATACCAGAGTCCGTATAGTATATTGGAGTCTCGAAGATTTAAAGTTTCAGATTTCTGAATTCAGGATAGAGATTCTAAGCTTTTACTTAATTTATTTCTACTGTTAAAATTTGATGAGTCAATGAAAGGTTGCAAGGGTTGAGTACTCAATAAGAAAACCTGACATACGTGAAAACAAAATTGGTTCAAGATTTTTAAAACACGGGGCCTAAAATATCTGGCTGACTTCTGTTCAGTTTACAAAACATGTTGAATTCAATGACATTTGCGCCATTTTCTGACAAGGCATACATCATATTACGTCACTTAGTATACCGCAAATATTATGAAATAAATAACTTCCAAGTCTATTCGTCAAAAGATAAGAATTGAATCATTAAAATCCTACTGGTACCACTCTTTTGAAATCATATGAAAAACCCTAATCACTTTATAAACTAGAGCTCATCATTTTTGAACGTGCCAGTAATACCAACCTAGGTGATATACCAAATTTGGCTGCTTTAAGAGAAAAAAGTCATTCTTTGTCTGATTAGCTATTTTCGAATTGTGGGTTTTCAATATCACAATAAGAGTGATGCATGACTTCTAATGAACATTTGTTTGTGTTTGCAATGATCGGAATCATAATAAATCCATATCCTAAACTCATATTATTTAAAAAAGAGTATCTAAGTGTATCCGTAAGATTAAAGTGATCTTATAGCCAGAAAAAGCGTATAGATTTTGCGGCTGTAAAGTGTTTGTGTGTTTTAGGAATGAATAGGGATGTTGTCATTCCTTCATGCAGACGACGGTTATTGACACATTCCTATATCCCTGTGTGTATGCAGATATCTAATTCTTTACATGGACTAGAGATGAATGAGTTTTGTCTCGTATTGAATGGTAGTCTGTTGTTATTGATCTCATATTTAACCCGTATAAATATGAAACTGTTCACTTTAGCCGAAGACATGAACAGCATCCAAACACCATGTGAGTATCCTATAATGCCTATAACATTGGAGACTATTTAATAAACACAGTGTGCAGAGATAAGCTCGAAAAACCTATTTTGTAAATAGTTTTTGATATTATTTACATTTATTTCGTTAATTCTCACAATTTGTATATTTGTCACAAATGATTGTAAAAGTTGTTTAAGTGCATGACCTTGAACTCATAGCATGACACTGCTAACGCTCGTGAATACACTGTTACACACACGTCACTCTTTCTCAATTGCATATTTTTGCGATAATTGAACTATGAAAATATCTATTAACACATTCATAGACTCCAGCCATATTTCCATCTCATACTACATCTGGTTATATTACTGTAATGAAAACAACCTCATTGGAATTATTACTTATATATAATTGTGGATTATGGTATCGAATGCAGCTCAAACAGGCCAAAGCCTGCTGATTTAAGTATCGTCTCACAAATTTTTTTTGTGTTTATAAATTTTAATTGGTATATTATAAGATTAACGTTTGGACATGATAACTTTATTGTCACTTACGAGTTGATATCCCGAGCTACCAATTTTGGGGAAAATTTTACCTATTTTGGGGAAGCCGCCATTATAAACTTTGGGGAAATTTTGGGGAAATGGCACAAAAACCCCAAAATTTCCCCAACCTTTGGGGATTTACCCAAACTTTCCCCAGACCTTGGGGATTTCTTCCCCTAAATTTCCACAAAATTTTCGGTTTTTCCCCTAAATTTCCCAAAACTTTTGGGTTTTTACCGTAAATTTCCCCACAATTTGGGGTACTTCTACCTAACCGTTTTAACGCAAAACCTATACCGAAATCTCCAGACATCACGGAAAACCTTGCGAGAATACCTACGTACATTTCTTACTGTGATATTAGATTATTTTTAGCCAACTACGTCTTGCCAAATAAACTTAACGTCAATGCATTTATCGGTTTTATTAAAACACCAGTTATTGAAATATTTTAATATTTATTATAGTTAATAAAATATCACAGATTATTTAATGATACGACGTTTATCATTGTTCCATTTCTGTTACACGTTAGGCAGAAGTTGAACTATGGTTTGTTAGGTTCTAAAAAATTGAAAAAAGACTTTTTAGTTTACAATCACATATGAACAAATGTAAAACGCAGATGACGTAATTTAAAGTTAGACAATGCTTTCAGTAATCCGAACAAATAACTTACAGTTACGTCAGATAAAGCCTGCGAAGCCAGCTGAAAACAAGAGGAATATGACAAAAGTGTTATCACTATAAACATTGATCACAAAGTAATAATCGAACTGCAATATACATTATTGCTTTGGCTAACCTTTTCTTTGGATCGCCATCCGCGTTTATAAACTTTATCTCTTGCGTCATGCAAGAAAGCCTGGCTTGCTGTACCCATGGCGTGTATCAAATCCTTTTCCGTACAGGTCGCACTTTGGAAATGGGAACACAGAACACCTATCAATGTGTTAATGCAATAGTGTGTACTTACTTTGAACGGTTGAGTAAAATTTGTATTTACTAACATCCAATTTTTTTTAGTTCCGTGCAAAGTGTAGTTGTCTGCCAGTTCCGGCGAAAGCACGTAACTCAGACAAGCTTTCGCTGATTTCCGAGGATCGTTACAGAGGAACACGTTTAATCTTCCCACCTACAATTCGTTCAAATACCTGTAACAACTTACGAAGTTATCCCGAACTGGATGTTATCGAACGCAGCTTCTAAAGAACGCAAGTCCTCATGCGTTCTTAATGGAAATGTGATAGCTGCAGTGTCTACAGGCTCCGTACGCCTGTCAGTTATACCCATGGATAAGCGTTCGTTGTAAGTGATCAATTTATCAATCTTACGAGAAAGATCACCGACCGCCT